CCCCAAAACCCCAAAACCCCAAAACCCCATGATTAAGTTATCAATAAAAATTGTATAAACTGAAACTTTAAAATAATTTCTGAGTAATATAACTAGTATTATCATTTTCATACAAAACTTTGATCTCTTAGCAGTAATGAACCATTTATATCATTTGATTCTTGGCGAGGATAAAAATTTTCACTTATTTACTCTATTTAAATTTCTATCTCTGTCTTATCACTACCCTCACTATTAATCTTGTATTTTTACTTAGTAGAATTCTTTTAGTGTTTCTTTACAAATTGATTTTTCAAAAGTTGATGAAAACTCTCTGATTAGAAATTTTCTCCTCTAATTTTACATTTATCTTAGCTTATACTTTCACTTTCATCACTGACCTATTAAATCTAAGGCTAATCAAATTCATTAGAAGAAGTTTCAATGAGAAAATTCTTCTTCATAGCTTAGTTTGTAAAATAGAGAAAAGCAAAAGCCAACATAAAATCAAAAACATCGAATATTAGTGGCTGATATAGGCAAATTTGCTTAATGACAAATATGAATCTGCTTGTGAAGTTATCAGTGTATACATCGTTGATAGTAAAAATAACATCTCTCATAATCACTCTCTCAGAGTAAATGAATTGTATAACAATCAAACTGATTTTTTCCTAATAAGTGAGTATTTTTAATGTTTTAATTACCTGCTTCATCTTTTTTTAATTTTCCTCTGATATGTAGTACTCTTTAGTTTATTCCCACATCAATTATCGTATTTTTCTTATTGTAATAAAGAAAAATATTCCTAATACAACATCGAAAGTTAATACTAAGAATCGTGAAAGTCTAGAAAAATTAAAATCAATATTTTATTACATAAAAAATACAAGTATTATATCTCGATTTGAATAGTCCCAATCATAAGTCATTGGCACTTGATAATAATAATCTAAAGCAGATGTGGTGATAGAAAGAATAGAATATATTATTATGTGGGCATACATGAATCTTTCAATTCTTTTACTTCTTTACTATTACTCTTCAAGTGAATCAATCGTATTTAGTACTAATATTGTATATCTAAAAACCAATTAATTTATCATGTTAGATTTACACTTTAAATGCAATCACATGAAATAGCAATGTATATAAATTTCCAATTGATCACCCAGGTATAGCATAAGTTCTCATTCTGTAAATACTATGAATATCTATTGCTTTAATACCATAATATTCTCCTAAGCATAAAGACCATATTATCGTTTTTGCTATAATAATTACTTGAGATATTTACCTGTGAAACCAAAGAAGAATAAAATATACATTATCATGTTGAATTTGTCAGTCTTAAAAGATGCTTTAATTAAAACGTAAAAGGCCCCAGAGACATATGCAGTAAATGAAATTGAATTCATCACAACCTCAAGAATTAGAACTACATCTAAATTTAAGAGTTAGTCTTCTAAAGTCATTTTTATTTATAAAATTTTATAAAATAAATCTTTTTCTATAAAAATATAAATACTACAAATTTATTAATCTTATTATAAATTTTATCAATTATCCATTAGCTAAATGGGGTTTTGGGGTTTTGGGGAG